CGCTTAACACATGAGCGGCAGAGGTTAGGTTCGTGCGGTTTTTGCTTCGTCCAGAGTTCATACAGTTTAAAGCGGGCACGCATCTAGAACCATGGCATTACTTTTGCTTTTACCCAGGTTTACGACTATAGTTAAGGCATTATAATCGTTGAATGAAGACTTTATCAATGTGTTATGTTTGTACACCAACGTAGACAGGGAGACCAGGGCAGCAACTCTTAAAGATGGTGCAGGCTCATATTTTCGCTGAATCTAACCTTTATTGGACCACTCTTTGCCTCAAACCGAATCTGTTGCAATGTAGGGCATTTCAATGGAGCTGGGAAAGGCAGTATTCTTCTCAGTCAGGAAAATTACTTCCTTTTCCTGCTCCATTTAAAAGCCCTTGCTTGTTCGTCCGGTTAATTACGTGCCAGCTTTACGTTCGCCTAACGGACGGGATACCCTGTGGGTTGTATATGCGTGCGCGCTTACTTTCGTGCTCCTCACCACCGACTGTCTGACCGGAGGAGGGGTAAAGGGGGAGGGAAGGGCTTGCAGGCTGCGCTGCGCGACGAGGAAGTTAAGGTGTGTGTCCGAGTCCACGAGGCCGGAGGGCGCAGGTGGTGGTCGCGGCCATGGGCCGCATGACGCCCTCCCCCGTGCTCACTCCATCGTGCCCACTTCAACATGACCTGTGGTGATACCGCCCCCCACCCACCCCGGCCCGTCCGTCCGTCCGTCCTGTCAGCCACCAGGTATCACTACAGAAGGGCGCGGGGTTAAAGAGCCACCTGGTAAAAATGATACATAATTCAAAGATTACTACAAATTTCGGATGAGGCGCTCAAGCAGGCTAAATTTCTACGTAGTTAACATTTGGAAGATAACTCTCACCAAGTGGGCTGATAAGTTCACTTAACGGTAATTCCTTTTCACTCGGGCGTTTTGGAAGGTCGAATTCGTGTCGAAATGTGGTCAGTAAAACGAGCGGCATATAACGTTTGCCAGATGCTGGAGCGGCAGCTGCAAGCCTCGAGCTCGGAGTCGCGTCGCGCCCGGCTATGGAACTCATTGTTCACCACCTCACCCGCGCAGAATGTCCGTCGGCACCCTCAGCGGGCGTGGCCAGGCCCGGACTGAGTCTGTGGACCAGCAACGGTCGAGCCTGGGATGGCAGGATGACGGTCAGCACTGTTTCCGGGATCATCCAGAAAGTGCGTCTGCTTTCCCCAGCTTGATTCGCCAAAAACGGAAGCTCGGCGCCTGCAAGACTCGGGGTAGGCCACACCGCGGTACACGCATGTGCTGTAGGCAAGATATTGCCTACCCATCAGGCGCTATGAGAGCTTGCTTAGGGAGGGTGACTTTTGCGATTTATTATCGGCGAAAAGACTCTGGATGATCCCTGTTGTTCACACGCGGAGAATTTAAGGTCGCAGAAGGACAAGGACAAGGCGTAAGTAGTCATATCGAGTCACATGAGCACAAAAGCACCACACCACACCAACTGTTAAACGTCGTCCCACGAGGTTTCCCCGGGGGGTCCTCCACTAGGCAACTCGTGACACTTGCCCACGCCCAACTCGCGTCGAACTCGCGCCAAACTCGCGATAGCTCGCGAAAATTTGGCGAAACTGCGCAAAACTCAAAAATTGATTCCTACCCGACCCTAACTTGCGACAACTCGTTGTACACTTATTTTGGAAATGGGGGAACCGTCGGCCCCCCTCCGGTCTGACTTGTCGCCTCGAGCAGAAATCTATTCGCGGACTTAACGATTTAAATTTACATTACTATTCCCACGAGTTTACTTGAAAAGGCGTGCGCGTGCGCACAAGGGTCTGTCCGTAAACAACGTGGACAAAGGCGGGAGGGTGTCGCGAAAAATCCTCGATTTTTAAAAGTTCGCCTTTTATTTTTATTTTACCTTTTCCTTGTTTCAGATTTGAAAGGACTCCACAATGGACGATCATTTTACGTATGGTAAGAGGCTTTGAAATTTAACCAGCTATTTGCCTCTCAGGCACAACCAGCTATCGACCTGACGTGGCGTGACAGGTCCACTGTTGCTAACAGTCGACCTGACATGCACTCACTTTCATGTGCGTGCTTTGCTTACCGGTGCCTAAGGAACTATTGTGTTCACAGTGCGGACACAAGTTCTGCTTTGGGGGGGGGGGGCGATAACTGTTTGAAACTGTTTGAAAATGAAGCCTGACACCTTTTAGCGTGTATAGAATCTCCTCCAACTTTCTGCAGGTCCTCGCCGAGGCCCGTGTGTGGTCTGTGGCCAGGCTGGTACTGCATGCGCGCGCTGCCGGGTCGC